GGATCAGATAATTATTTTTAACGAATCGAATCGAATTTGAACAGATCCAATCCATTTAAAGCCCTATATGGGCATGCTCTATTCTTGTGCTTCTAGCATGAATTATAGAATAAAATTGTTTCATTTAAAATTAGTTATCAAATATGTCATTCCAATTTTTTTCTAACAAATTCAGTAGTAGATTTTATTTAATCCATTGAACTTTATTTTCGACAAATTACAAACTGCTGTTGTAATATGATTCATTACTAGATCAGAGGATCACTATTGGATCGAAATGTAGAAATAAACTTAGAAAAGGGCATAGAAATGAGTTATGTTATGAGGTGTTTCACTTTATCGCATCAATTTTATGATAGCTAAATAACAGAAATTATTAATATATTTCTTTTTATTTAATTTATAATTAATAATTTAGAAATAATATGATATAGATAACAGATATTTATTATTTTACGTAGTTCTATTATGATCATATAAAGTAGTTGGCTAAGATTAAAAAATAAAAATAAAAATCAAGTTCAGGTACTTTTGAGTTCTCGAACGAAAGGTGATTCAATCACAAGAAATTTGACAGGTTTTGTAACCTATTATGGACGGTTTAACTCTAAACTCCAATTTGTTTCCTATTGTTCGAAGAAAAGAATTCTTTTTTTGCCCTTTTTTTGCCATCAAGTGAGACCCAGTGTGAGAGAAGTCAATGATAGTGACTGGAAGTCCAACGAAGGTTGAAAAATGAATTATAATTGTACTGAAAACTGAAAACAAACAGAGGCTAAGTTTGACATATTCAATTCGAATTTCTATAGAATCGATAGTAAAGCAGTCCATTGATGCTGCCTAGATCGGACTGAACTCGTGTTCACCAAATTTCTTGTCAGATTGGCTAGTTACAACTATGAATGCAAATAATTATTATTTTTTTAATTTATTATTATTATTTATTATTATTATTATTTTTAACCATGATAGGACTCTTTAAATTTTGTTTTATTATTATTATTATTATTATTATTATTATTATTATTATTATTATTATTATTATTATTATTTATTTGTTTTGTTCTTCACTTCTAGTATCTCACCATTTTTTGTAAATCAAAGATTTATTTTATTTTTTCAAGCAAAACACAACATGTCCACTTAGGTCGTCGACTCTTTAATAACTATCAATTACTCAAGCTGAATTCACCCGTATTCGTCGATGTATATTTTCATTACTTACACAATATGCTTCACTATAACAATACATTTATTATAGATATTTTAAACTTTTTAACAATCCAACATTTATTTCCATTAGGCAACCAATAATTAGTTTTATTTTAATTTATATACAAAGATATTCAAGTCATTTCTTAAAACTGAATATTGAGACCAATTCAAAAATCTCGCTAGGGATTGACCCCTTTAAATTAAAAATTGGAAAATAAAAGAAAATGTGAAAAAGCCGAACAAATCCCTCATTGGCCAGCAAGCCACATGGCAAATGTTCATTGGAAAACTTCAACCATGAAATTGTTCGTACAATCATGCTGCAATAAACAGACTCAATGATATGATTAAAAAAAATAGGGAGATGCGTAGCGTTGCATCACTAGTTAATTTGGGGAAAAAAAAGTTACTTACACAGGTACTAACAACTCAACGCTTATCAAAGCATCTGTTTGAGTAGCATTATTCTTGTTCGTAACAAGACTGCAGAGTTAACTATTCTGTTAGATTTTATCCAAACCATGATCAACTCGAACCTTAACCAAAGTTAGTTGATGCACATTAAATGATAAAATTACAAAAGTACCCTCCGCGAAATGCCATGAAATTTTTATTTCTTCATTTTTTCATTCGTGAATAGATGGTTACTTTTGAACCGCGGAAAGACCCTCCAAAAGTACCCAAGCAACATTTTAGTTAGAAATGCCTCATGGAAATTTAATCATCTTTTTTTAATATTCTAAAAAGCAGTGCCTAGGAACGAAGCGAGTGCAAAATGTCTTGTCTTGCGTTTAATGATATTTTGATAACCACTATTAGAAACTTAAGTAATAATTACTAAACGTGCAAAAATCAAGTTGTGTAATAATATTTGTGAAATTGTTGTCATAATAACATTTGTGAAATTGCATAAGTTCGATTATTCTACATAGATGATTGTCGTAGCCTATTTTTGAGACTCGTGAACTCATACAAGACATAAATGCACTAACCTTTTCACAAGAGTAACTCTCCTCCTATTAACCAAACATATAATTTTGTAATAATAGACAAAAACAATCATAACATAATATGAAAAACGAAATCAAAAGAATACGTACTTATATTACTTTATATTTTAACATGGCAATTATGTTTATTCGCCATTGCAAGACGTCACTATTATACCCCTATCGATTAGAATTTCGTTTTGGGGTGGAATTTTCGATTTAAAGGGTACTGTCTCAATGCTGTTAACAAAATAGTAATAACATAATATGAAAAATGAAATCAAAAGAACAAGTATTTATATTAATCTACATTTTAATGTGGCAATTACGTTTATTGGCAATTGCAAAGCGACACTACTATTCCCCTATCACATTAGAATTTCTTCTTGGGGGTGGGATTGTCAAATTAAAGGGTATTGTCTCAATGCTACTAATCGTATCGACAAAAGTTGATTTATGGTCTAAAGAAAAATGAGCTGAATCTAAAATATAAACGAGCCAAGTGCTTACCGGTTATGTACATGACATATAGTACTTGCTTCATTTTTCTCGAAATAATTCAAAAATCATTTATTCATTATGTACTAACAAAATGAAAAAAAAAAAATGTTTTACACAATAACTTCACCTGTCTTGGCATCTCCATCAAACTTTGAATATATATATTTTTTCTTTTTTTGGTAATTACCCATGAAAAGTTGCACCGTAAGTTTTCTTTAAAATGAATGTATATTCAATACTGGCATGCATGTACACGTTTTACTTATTTCTTTAACCAGCCAAACAGAGCCAAGAGCTAAATCAGGCAAAACACAACATTCAACGAAGCTTACCATCCACCCACTGTTGACCCCACTCCGCCACGAGTGGGTAGGTTGGGGGAATATATTTCATTATCTTAGTTTACTTAATTGATATAATTAGTAACACTAATAATTCCAATTCCCTAAGCAAAAATAATAGCTTATAACAAAACATACTGCTTAAAAGTGAGATATAATTACTTTTAAATTACTTATTTCGAAAAACAATAAACTTGAAGTTACGTTGGAATCCACGAGAATAATATGATGCGACGAATAAAGCCCTTGTATCAATATCACTTATTGCCCTTTGTTTCAATGATCAACGACCCTGTAATGGCAAGAGGAAGTCTTGCCCGAAAGGAGTAGTAGCTGACAACTTTTATCGTGTTTGCTCCATTGTTGTAAGTCTATCCGCTTTTTAAATGAAATAATACTTAAATCTTTAATATATCGATCCTAACAAATTATACTTTTATCATAAAGCAATACTTAGCCCTGTTTGATATGAGAGAAAAAGTTGAGTAAAATTTAAATTAAAATCAATAGCTAGTTTTAATCATACATTTTAGAGCTTCACAACTTTTATCAAAATTTCAACCACAAATTTCATTATCTTTTATCAAAATCAACTAAAAATATTTTTAGCTACACCAATTATGTGTTTAAATTTAATGTACGGCACTAGCAGAGTAACTTTTAAATACAACCAAGTCCTTGTCGGAGCCGCATTATTTTCATAAAAATATATTTTTGAATAGCGTATTGATGGAAAATGTATGATTAAAAAATAAAAAAGAGTTTTGGATTTGTGTGTAATATTATTTTATTGAAAAATGTATGATTGAAATGATGTCAAATCACTGTTTAAAAATGTATTTTTTCCAAATAATGTGGATCCAACGGGACCCAAATATGCTTTCTATTTGTATACTTTCACACTATTTTGGAAGAATTAATTATTAAATGCTTTTTTAGAGCATACAAAAGGGTACTAGTTCAATTATTTCGGTGACATGTTCATTAAAATTTTAATGAAGAATACTTGGACAAAGAGTAAATTTAATTTCGACACGAAAAAAAAAATCATCACAATGTCGATAATTCTAAATGAAATTAGCAAGAAAAAAATTTCGATAATCACGATAGCAAATGACATTACTAGTTCAAGTTTTGCCATTGATTTTAAAATAATTTCACGTTTGAAGCATCAAACTAGTATGTGTATGACTTACATTAGAGAAAAATATACAGAATTTACATATTAATCGACATTATTGACTATTCAAATTTTGCTAGCAAAAAATAAAAATAAATAAAAAATAAAATAAAAAACTTTTTTTAATAAAAAATTACACGTTGGATTTGCAACGCTAATCGATTAAGATAAAAGGGGTTTAGATCGCAATAAACTTAAATTTGCTATAAGTATTGACAAGTAATCTTCGATGCCAATTTAGGTATATTACATTGTGACGCACAATTACAATATCAATAATTAAATTAAGTAATTATTAACAAACAAAAGCAATTATAATAGTATGGCAAAGGAACAATTAGAGCTTGTTTGATATAGCTATTAAGTCAATTAAAATCAATTTTTTTTTATCATTATTTCATTTTTGAATTGTTTTTTAATCACTTTATTTTTAACGATAAAAAAATAATTAACAAAATTTCTATCAAATAAGTACTTAATAATGCATAATTAAGAAAAGCAGAAAATTTCAATTCCCAAAGCCTTGAATCTAATATTCACTTTCCGCGCGTGGACTCAGGACGGGAAACCTGTACCCATTCCAGGGGCAAGCTTTTCCTCCATGTCCCACCCCAATTATTACTTACTTAGACCATGTGCGCATTGCGCACCCCCCTCCCTCACCCCCTACACGAGTCTTCAAATTCTCCTCTTTGGACACCATTAATATTCTCTGTAGTCCAACGTTTTCAGAAAAATAAAATAAAAAGTGTGTGTGTATATATATAAATTTTAGAGAGAGAGAGAGAGAGAGACATGCACTACATATATATATAATTTTAGAGAGAGAGGAAGAGATTAGAAAAGTACTTGTCGGCTTCAACCAGGCAAAGACCATCCATCTCCCATCTTTCTCTCTCTAGAATTCTTTTTATTCTTCTTAAATCCCCAAATTGTTTTTGGAATATTTTTATTAGCTGAAATTTTTCTGAAATTAAGCGTGGGATTTGATTTTGTGCTGCTTTTTAGTGGAAGAGATGGTTCGGGATAATTTTGGGGTTAAATATGGAAACGGCGTATTTCCGTAGGATTTCGGTGCTGCAAATCAAATTCGTGGTGGAGAAACAGCCGCTCTTTTGGTATGTGTGAAATTTCCTTTAATATTTTTAGAATTTGATTCTTTCTTGTCCAACTGGTTGTCTCCGCAAAACCGAACATACTTAAAATAATTTATAACCAATATATATGCAGAGATGTATAAGGAAAAGGTTGAATTTCCTAAGGTTTAGATTTCCGAAGCTATAAATAATACGTTAAGCTTTTTAGATTTTCTTTATAGTTCGGATCTCTTTAAAGTGCCGGTTATTGCATTTGATCTAAAAGTCTTCTGAGTGTAAGCTGTAAAATTTTTACAAAGTTTTCTGGTTTAAGCATAACACTTGAATTTGAGCGGTATCCTTTTTTTTTTTTTTTTTTTTTTTTTTTTTTTTTTTTTTTTATTTTTTTTTTTGGGGGGATAAAAAAAAAAATTAATTTTTTTTTTTATCCCCCCAAAAAAAAAAATAAAAAAAAAAAAAAAAAAAAAAACAAAATATTTTTTTTTTTTTTTTTTTTTTTATTTTTTTTTTTGGGGGGATAAAAAAAAAAATTAATTTTTTTTTTTATCCCCCCAAAAAAAAAAATAAAAAAAAAAAAAAAAAAAAAAACAAAATATTTTTTTTTTTTTTTTTTTTTTTATTTTTTTTTTTGGGGGGATAAAAAAAAAAATTAATTTTTTTTTTTATCCCCCCAAAAAAAAAAATAAAAAAAAAAAAAAAAAAAAAAACAAAATATTTTTTTTTTTTTTTTTTTTTTTATTTTTTTTTTTGGGGGGATAAAAAAAAAAATTAATTTTTTTTTTTATCCCCCCAAAAAAAAAAATAAAAAAAAAAAAAAAAAAAAAAACAAAATATTTTTTTTTTTTTTTTTTTTTTTATTTTTTTTTTTGGGGGGATAAAAAAAAAAATTAATTTTTTTTTTTATCCCCCCAAAAAAAAAAATAAAAAAAAAAAAAAAAAAAAAAACAAAATATTTTTTTTTTTTTTTTTTTTTTTTTTTTAATTCGTTTTTTCGGTGGATTAAAAAAGAAATTGAATTTTACTTTAATCTATTTATAATATATTGAAAAATTGCTGAACTCGGGGTAAAAATATTTAGTAATGTATACAAAACCTCCTGTTATCTTGTCTGTTTATTTATGATCTAATAAATGAAGTTGAAGTATTTACTTTTTGGGGAAATTCTTCGTTGGATTGAGTAGTACTTAGTTATTATTATATTTTGAATTAGTATACAATTTATTTTGGAAATGGGAAAAAAATCTGGCCGATTCCACTTCACAGAGAAAGATCCAGAATTTAGGTGTATAATGATAAGCTTTGTCTAACGGTGGAAGGGTCATGCGTTTTGGGTGATTACTGCATAGAGAAATTGTGGATAAGGCAAACTTTTTTGCATTTCGGTCCATAAAGGCAAGATCTTAAGGAGCATTCAAGGGCAATACTAATCTGGGGTATAAAAAGCTATTCAGTTACATGTCTATTTTCCTTAAATAGATATCTGTCAGGTGGTGGTGAGTTTATCAGCTGACATCACCCATTTTCAGCAGAACGGAGATTTGCTCTTTAATTGAAAGAAATTATCAATTATAGCTTTGGAACTCAGTGGATATTGAGTTGGTTTTCTCATGGCACACCTTGCTGCAAATCATTGTGGCGGAGGATCTCCTCCAGGTTTGAGTTATTTCTTTTGACATCTCATAGTTATTGTGTAAATGATAAACTTAGGGGATAGTTAGTATTCCTAGGTTTATACTTCACTCAATAACTCAAATGAGTCTACTTATTTTGTGGTAGTTACATGCATTTGACTTTCTTTTTGCTTGATTTTGCTTAAAGGAGTATTGCTTCTGAGACATTGTTTCTCCTTTCCATTTGAGTGTACCACTCATTGACTGTGAAGTTTATTGTGTTAATATTTTATTTTTCAGGATTTTCACTTAATTTTCTCATGAATAGGATGAAGCTATAAATTTCTTTTTTAACTTTCTTTTTAGCCCTGGTTTGGTGGAAATTATAATATTGAGATATTAATTTAAGTCAAAGTCAACAATTTATTTTAACCACATATTTTATGAACCTACCACTTTTCAACCACATGTTTCATTGACTTTTATCAAAATATGCTAAAAATCCATATTTAATTCCCACCAAATAGGGGCTTAACGTTGTTGTGGATGATGTGAAGCTGGTTACACAATCGTCATTGTTTTGCTACAATCTTTATGCTGTCATAGTAATAGAAGTATATGTAATTTTGTGCCATTACCTAATGTGACATGTTGACTCTTATAAAGCTCAGGAAGGGCTTCACACACACCGCCGTTAGACTTCTTCCGCTGAACTTAATTTTGATTAGAATTGAGTTTGATTGCAAACATAGGTACATTCAAAAAGTTTCAGAAGGCATATCCAGAAGTAAACTCATTTCATTGATTATAGAGAATAAATAGAATGCGGATCACCATGCTGGAGCGAGAGCCAGCTCCAAGGATGGCAACACTAGCTTGCTAACAACTTTGTTGATACTCAGTACTCCCCACAGTAAACTTAGGAGAAGAAAATCTAACTGACATGATGTTACTCTAAATAAAGAAGAAACATTATTATCTGCATAAATATTTACACATTTTTTAAACAAAAAACCTACACCACTTGACATCATGCAACTGGGGGGCTGTTAGTGGAGGCCGATATTGGGCCGCTGCTGGGTGCAGTCAAGGTCTAGGCTGTGATATGGCCTTCGACACCAATGCAAGTTAGCTCGTCACCATAACTTTTGCGTCCATGAATGATTTGCAATTAATCTCGTTTATATCTGTGTCCTGTAGTGAGTTTGCCAACAAGCATTTTCAATTCTGTCCCCTTTATTACAGAAAAAACATGGGTGAAAGAACTTTAATAGTGTGCAATGTGTGAACATGTTCTCAAGGGCAGAGATGCTTCGAGTTTAATACCTATGCCCTAATTTGCATTATAAGAGATAGTGCTATAATAATAAATTATCCTCATTTTATAATTCTGCTAACTATATGCAAGTGCACTTTCATTTGTTTACTTTCCTTATATATAATATCTTTCCTGACCGTGTATTGCCTCGTTCTATTACAGGGACCCCAAATGATGCTTTATATAAAGAACTCTGGCATGCCTGTGCTGGACCCCTTGTTACCCTTCCACGTCAAGGGGAGCGAGTTTATTACTTCCCACAAGGTCACATGGAACAGGTATGGTCATATTTGTCCTCCTTCCTTTTCCCACTTTATTCTTAAAAATCTTTTGCTGTTAGATTTGTTTCATGTGTCAATTGCTGCATATTGGATTTTGAATGTGTATGCTTCAATGTTAATGTGGACTTTGTATTCTTCCTCTTGTGTTCTGCTAGTTTACCTCATTGTTATATTTTTTGTTGTTGTTACATCTGTATGACAACTTTCCGTACTCTTTTGGAATATTTTCTTCATTTCCCTTTTTGTTCTGGTCTTAATGCGGATGTCTTTCTTTTTCATGTACCACAATTGAAGTTTCAAACCGTGAAATCCTCTGACTTTCAAATTTCTATCTATTGCTTATATTCCAAATGTACTAATTTATTTACATTGGTTTGTTGTATAGCTTGAAGCATCAACACAACAAGGACTTGACCAGCAGCTTCCTTCGTTCAACTTACCAGCTAAAATTCTTTGCAAAGTGATGTACGTCCATCTTCGGGTAAGGATCCATGAGATTTTCACTTTGCAGGTGGACTTTGTCTTCCTACTCTAGGTTCAGTTTACTTCTTCTGCATTGATTTGTTTGTTGCTGTCCATTTGGGTTGTAGGCTGAACCGGAAACAGATGAGGTATACGCACAGATAACTCTGGTACCTGAACAGGTGAAGTCCTTTAAACTTGATAACTATTCGTTTTCTCTACTAACTTATGTACATTTTAGCTTTTGTGCAAGATCTGTCTTCATGTAATTTCTAATCTAGTAATTTCGTTTCCCCCCTTCTATTTCTGCTTATATTGTTCTTGCAATTGCTTTTTCATAATTTTTGGGGCATCAGCAAACTGAGATCACAAGCCCAGACCCCCCTCCGCCAGAACCTCAACGAAGCACTGTACACTCATTCTGTAAGACTCTCACTGCATCTGATACAAGCACCCACGGTGGGTTCTCTGTTTTACGTAGGCATGCAGATGATTGCTTGCCTCAATTAGTAAGATTCTAGTCAACTTTCGAGTCGAATTCATCTAATTTCTGCTACCTTATATTTCGTATTGTTCTCCTTGCTAGATTTGACTTTTATTTCATATTCAGGATATGTCCCAGCAGCCACCATGGCAGGAATTGGCTGCCACGGATCTTCATGGTCATGAATGGCATTTCCGTCACATTTTCAGAGGTTAGAATCTGACTTAGGAAGAACTGATTGGCAAGCTATGTAAATTAAGTTGCATGGTCACTAACCATGAAGGGGAAAAGTCTGAGCATCATATCATATAAATGCAACCCGGGCTTGTCATATGTGCACGAGTGCATTTGGCGTATGATACTATTTTTCAATTTACCATTCTAAGTGTGTACCTTCTTTCCTGGTTAAAACATCCATGCACATGCACTTAGTTCTTTGTCTATTAAACTGCTAGTGCATCATCTAGCAAGTGCGAAGTAATGTAGGGTTTTCTCATTAATTCAAAATCATGCTCTACACATGCTCTCTTGTTGAGTAAATGAACCTATGTCAATGATTCTTGGAATCAGCACGTTTCAGTAGGAGAGCTACTATCTTTGTGTTCCCTGACTCAGGTTTGCTTACATTTGTCCAGTTCTTTATTTAAGGAGGTCATATCTGCTATCGCAAGCTGACCTTCATTTTGCTTGCGGTTTTGTGGAACAGTACAAACTTAAATTTCTTTTTTCTAGGATCCTAGTCACTGAACAGAAAGTTTGTCTGGCTTTATTAGGACGCCATCTTTCTTTCCTACCACTTTTGGTTGTTAGCTAACATGGTTTTTGGGTCATTTCCCCCTCTTCCTAAAGGAGAAGGTTTTGAAATGGCTAATGACTCCTCAAAATCTTCATCTTCTGGCCTACACTTGAAATAATTTTGCACTGGTGGCGTATCTCATTTCCATTTTATCTATAGTTCTAGTTTATATGGGATTTTTTTTGTTTCTTAATGGATCCCTTTTTATATGATTTTGATGCATATTGACATAACTGTAGGTCAACCTAGGCGCCACTTGTTGACAACTGGATGGAGTGTCTTTGTTAGTACCAAAAAGTTAGTTGCAGGAGATGCTTTTATTTTCTTAAGGTATGTTGATCGTGATGAATTTCATAATTTTGTGGAGATTGCAGTCTCTTGACTTTTCTCACATCGGGGGAGTCTGGGTGTTTTTTTTTTCTTTCAAAAAAAGAAATTGTAATTCATCTTTATTGTGGTCTACTTGTATGTGTTTTTTTTACAGTTATCACATTCTTTTATTTCTCTTTGTACAGAGGAGAAAATGGGGAGCTTCGAGTTGGAGTACGTAGGCTTATGAAACATCTAAATAATATGCCGTCTTCTGTTATATCAAGTCATAGCATGCATCTAGGTGTTCTTGCTACTGCATCGCATGCTATCTCTACTGGGACCCTCTTTTCAGTCTACTATAAACCAAGGTTGTCTCCTCTTCCAATTCCTTGTCGTGATCTTTTAAAAAAAAATATGCAATATTTAGCTTTGAAATGTTTGTACATTATAGTGGTCCTAGCAAACTAATATTTCTAATTTGGCTCTGAAGCCTTGGTCTAACCAATTTTCCCTTAATTGGCATTGCTAAGAGGTGGCACAAGTGTTTATATTTCCACTTTATGCTTCTCACTGTATATGGGATCATGGTCCGGTAAACAACATATTTTCGAGTCTAATTTTCTGAGACAGTAATGATTCCAATAATTTGACAAAAATTTTTTTTGTATGTTGCCCACCTTTTGGAGAGATTATTTGTGGGAGCGGTATTAATAGACTCGTAGTCAAATGCACTTCTCAGTTTTTTGTACAGTTTTCATTTTTCTATCTTGATATTGACCGTTTAAAAGAAGTTACTTTGTCTAACTGCTACCTTTCGTTACCAGGACAAGTCGATCTGAATTCATTGTAAGTGTAAACAAGTATCTTGAAGCTCGAAGTCACAAGCTCTCAGTTGGGATGAGGTTTAAGATGAGATTTGAGGGTGAAGAGGTTCCAGAAAGAAGGTATTTCTATTGCTGATGATTTGGTGAACTTACTTTTCTTTGATAGTATTTCAGAAATAATTTTTGTTGGTTAATTTACTTGTTTTGCATCTTTTTACAGGTTCAGTGGGACAATTGTTGGCCTTGAGGATAATGATTCATCTAGGTGGCCTGATTCAGAATGGAGATCTTTGAAGGTGAAAAATATACATATTTATTAACTAATTCTATTCTGGCATTTATACAAGTTTGGTTCTTGGAAGTTCCACAATCCGTTGAAGTTGTGACTCGTGTGTCCTAAAATTACAGCTACCTGGCAGAAACTTCTATAAATTTTTCATAGCATTTTCTGCAAAAAAGATTAAGATGCTCTATTTGCATATCTTGTGGAAATGAATCTTAAAAAAAAAAATATATAATAATAATAAATACACTATTGGGAGGGCTTTTGGATAAAAATCATCAGCACAACTCGCTCATTGATTCATTGTGCTCATGCAGGTTCAATGGGATGAACCTGCCTCAGTTTTGCGTCCAGATAGAGTTTCACCATGGGAGATAGAACCATTTGTTGCAACAACTCCACCTAACTCCCAGCCCCCACAAAGGAATAAGCGGGCACGACCCCCCATTTTGCCTTCGCCAATGCAAGATCTTTCTTCGCTTGGTACAACTCTTTCTTGGTTAATATTTAGAGAGTATCCTGGTGACATTTTTGATAAAAAATTCTTTGATTCTCATAGGTATGTGGAAATCGCCAGCGGACTCTTCTTCAGCATTCTCCTGTTGTGATCCATCACGTGGACGAGATGTCCATCAATCACCTAGATTTAGTTCTGGTACCAGAGTCAGCAATCTGAGTTACAATGAGATCATGCCACCAGTTTCTAGCAATTTGATTTACCGGTCTAATCAAGTAGAAAATGCTATAGAGTCATTTACACCAGTTAGTGAAAAGAGACAGGCCAATGGCTGCAGACTTTTTGGGATTGAGCTGCGTGACAGCTCAACAGTTGAAGACACTGCACTGGCAGTTGTGTCTGGAGTTGCGAAAGAGGATTCTCTAATTCCAGCCTTAGGTGATGAATCTGAAAAAAATTCTGAGCCATCGAACCATAATCCATCTGATGTTCCTTTAGAAAGTTTTGAGCCTGAAAAGTCATGCACGAGATCTCCCCACGAGCCAAAAAGCAGGCAAATTCGAAGCTGCACCAAGGTACTTTGGCCTTAGTTCGAACTGCTTTATTGGATGCAAAAAATTAGAGGCTCCAGTGATCTATGAGCTACTTTTTGTTAATCAAAATTTTGGTAGTAACCTTTAATGAGATATTCATACATACTATAAACAGTTGAACTTTCTAATGCATTTTCTTGTCAATCATGCTCATGTGTTAGATGGTATAGAAATTCATAATTCTGCAAGTTCACATTATATTTTGTACGGCGTACTAGTCTATATAATTTCCTTCCTGTTGGTATCCATTATCTTTCATGCTTTGAGGATTGAGTGTTATGTTGAGCTTAATCAAATGTAAGATATATTATTTTTTATTTATGTCCTATCTTTGGATTGTTACTGGTTTGAATGTTTGACTTTTATGCAACAGCTTATTTGCATTTTTTTCTTTCCTGGAAAAGGAAGCATTTCATCTCAAGTTTCTTTTTACTGAATTGTTGACACAAGGGTGTATTAATTCCTTTAGGTTCATATGCAAGGCATTGCGGTTGGAAGGGCAGTTGATCTGACCAAGTTTGATGGCTATGATGATCTTCTCAAGAAATTTGAAACGATGTTTGAGATTGAAGGGGAACTCTGTGGGTCAAGAAAGAAATGGAAGGTTGTCTACACAGATGACGAGGATGACATGATGATGGTTGGAGATGATCCATGGCAGTTAAGTCAATTCTCTGAATCCTTTTTCATCCCCTTCTCCTAAATGTTTTGCAGCTTTCCTGCTACTGTATTTCTTCAGACTTTAGGAGTGGGGTACCTGCACCTGCACACTTGTATATATAGAAAATACATAGTTAAGCAGTAGGTTGTAGTGCCTTAAAATCATGGGGGTTGTTATATAGCCCCTTTTTGGTTTTGATAAAAAACAGTTTGTCAGTAGATTTTGGTAAAAGTTGATTAAAAGTGTAGTTGAAAAGTTGACAAAACTTGTGGGTCCCATGAAATGTGTGGATGAAAATGAGTTTGGGAAAAAATGAATTCTAAAGAAATGGAGGCCAAACAGGGAGTATGGAATTTTGTGAAATTTCATGTATTTCATATTTTCGTTGATGAATTCTGAAAGTTACTATACCAAAATATAACCAAAGAATACCTAACAATTTCCTAGCATTTCTCCTCTAATTATGCTCTAACATCTCTCTCCTACGATTATGCTAATTAGATCAACTATACAACAAAGGAACACCTTATGCCCAAACATCTCCTATAATTATGCTATTGAGATCAACTATGCAATAAATGAATACAATATATTATAGCTATTTTATAGGTCATTATGGTTTGCAGTGAAAGATATGCATTGTGCTTCTCAGCTGTGCTAATATTATTTTTTGTTCAACTCTTTCATCTAAAAGCTTAAGTTGTTAAGTAGGAGACGTGTATTTATTTAAAGTTAGTCTTTGATGCGTTCACTCAGGTGCAGACTGGTTTCATTTTTTTTTTAATCAACACACGGTACAATTTTCATGTATGGGTGTTGGTTAGACTTGAACTTGGACATCTGCCTTCTAATACAATGCTAAACCACCTTATCTAAAGCTTATTAACTATTAAAAAAGAGATACACTTATTTATTCGAATTTATTCTTCGACATTTATATTTACATGATTTTGGTAATGTATCCAGCGAATTCTGCACCATCGTGAGGAAAATTTACATCTATACAATTGAGGAAGCCAAGAAGCTTTCACCCAAGATAAAGCTTCCCCTCCCTGAAGTGAAACCTGGCAAGCTGGTTGCTGATGCTGCTATCAGCTCTGAAGAACAATCCTCGACTATGGGGTCTGACTACTGATGCCTGCTGTCCGTCTTTAGCTACAATAAAATTAAAAATGTTCGAGAAAAAATCAAGAGAAATGGAAGACAAAGTTGACAATGACTTGATATTTTATTTAGCAGCCAGTTAAGGTGTGCATGAGATTGCGAAGAGTATGCTGGTGAGACAACTGGAAGGTTTTTTCTTTCTCGTATGTTTGCTAGGGACAGCTTCTGTGTGTGTGTGTGTGTGTGTTTTATTTGTTTGTCAAGGGAATCTTTTGATGCTTGCTCGTTTGGATCACTTATATAGCTTGAAGAAATCTGTGATGAGAAGGATACTCTCAGTCACTTGGTTTTTATTTTATGTGCCTCGAGTTTATTGACATGTCCCCGAAATGGCTTCTGTATATAAATATATATTTCTTTTGGTATTCCATTGTGTTATTTCGTGTACGTTCTTTTTTCCTTGCATGGTGAGTTTTGATCTATTCATCTAGGGCCGGAACAGGGGGTGCATGTGGCAGGCTCCTAGCCAATAGGGGGCAAAACATGCGTCCCCAGAGGGACATGGCATGTCACTCTAGCAAAACCCTTGATTGAATTGCTCTTACTCAGACTCCCTATAGGTCTAGCCACTTTTTTCTATACTTGTGCTTTATTATTATTGGTCGCAAGAGTTCAATTTTGTTCAAAATTTCTAAGTTGATAATACTTCCAGACTTCTATGAAGTATATGGATAAAAATGAGTTGATTGAGTAAGCCAAACATGAGCTAATTGTTTTACATAACACTACAAGACTTGGTTATCCGAAGTGGGTTCTGTCCTTTGTGAATCAATAGGCTTTGTAACTTTCTCATTTGGGATAGGCCTTGAAGAGGAAAGAGCTACGAAATTGGAAAGATCAACACAAAGAAGCTCTGAGTTGATCTTCGTGGGCTTGTCACCTTCATTCGATGCATATGTGTAGTTTTTACTAGGGTCTTGACGTCCTTTCCTCAAAGTTGAGATAGTTACCCACCCTTTGAATTTGCAATGGAGTCGACATGGTTGACTAGATGTCTAGTTCCTCCTCAGAAATCGAAGACGGTCGGGTGGAGCTGACATGGTTGATTAAAATCTAGTTTTTCCCTCTAAAGTCGAACACTTGGATGGAGTTGACATGTTTGACTAGAACCTGGTTCTCTCTCGAAAGTCAAAAACGGATACCAGAAAGAGAGTATAGAAAATGAGTGCAACTCGGAAAGTTGTTACACATTAGCCACCTACTTATAAATTTTATCGTTTTGGTCATTATATTTGATATTAGATGGCATCAATAATTATTTACAACGGTCAACAAGGTAAAAGCTACTCAATAGGTATTCTATGTACTGCATCTCATGCTAGGTCATTTACCATTACAAGGCTCTATAGTTGCATGCTAGATCGTCTGCTGTTATGAGACCTTCTACATTCACACTGGGATGTCGACTACTATGAGGCCCTCTACATTCATGCTAGGCCATTTGCTGCTATGAGGCCATCTACGGTCATGCTAGACTTTTAATCACTGTGAGGCCCTCCACATTCATACTAGGCCTACCATTGTGAGGTCGTCTACCACTACGAGACCAACACAACACTTAACCATAAAAGCATCATGGACACAACCAACTGCTAGATAGATAGATGTACTCCACTCAGAACTTAGGGGCCAGTGGGAGGTGCTACATAGGACACGTAGCACAATAACCTCCCAGCAATTATATGGCTTCAGACATCTATAAATGCCCCTAAGACAAGATAGGTAAGGGTCTTGAAAATCTTGGCTATCTGAATACACATTTTATCTTTTCTTCCTAAGTCTATGTTCACAAATGTTTTATTAATTCTCACGCTCGAGGCACAATGAGAGAAAGCTCCAACTTCATTTTGCAGGTAACATTTGTTCATCGGAGTAGCAAAAACAACTTGCACCGCTAGGAGGGCATGGAGGTTTGTTTCATAACTATTTTATTGGTGCCGTCTACGAGTAACAATGAACACAAAAGCGATGTCAAGAAGACGAATTAGGAGTAATGCGCGCTTGGTCGAGAACATGGGGAAGACAGAGTCGGAGTTCGTCACAGGGGGACATGATTCGCCACCATAGCCACAGTATGTAACATATGGCCAATTCAGTATTTTGGGGACTGGCAGCCATGATAACCTTCTTGCAAAGTCAATCACGGAGAGTTATAGTCCCAACACATAACCTACTAGAGGTTATGTGCGAGCAACCGTCTCAAGTGGTACAAAGGGTTGTCCCACCTGCTAAATAGACAACAATAGGAAACTTAAGGGGGGCCCTGAGGTAGCGTTTCAGTAAATTTCACGCCCTATGGTAGATGGCCTAGAAGAGAGACGATGTATTATTTAAGAGGAAAGACAAATGCTGGCAAATGATTTTGCAAAAAGACCCATTTGCACTTGAGATCATGACAGTTCCTCTATCGAAAGGCTTCAAACAACCTATGATAGAGACATATGATAGAGTCACGAATCCGCTTGACTGTCTGCTAATCTTCGTTGATTTGATGAGACTTTATACAAACCCAGACGCAGTGATGCGCCGATCTTTTCCCTCGAAACTAAAGAGAGAGGCCAGAGACTAGGTAGCCACTTTGGCACCCCGATTTATCAAAACATTTGATGGGCTCTCTAGGAATTGTGGCTTACTTCTTCAAGAGGAAGAGGAAGACAACTATTGTGTTAATACAGGTTGTATAAGAGAAAGACAAACCTTTGCAGGAATAATTGGCTAGGTTTAGCAAGGTAATACTTAGTATAAATGACTTTCAAATGTCTGCAATAGTAACCGAGTTGATGAATGGGATGCGAAATTGAGCCTTTAAGATGTTGCTTTCCAAACCCCCCCCCCCCCAAAATCAATGCATGAATTGCTGAAGAAGAAGACAAGTATGTTGACGTGGAGGAGGTAGATAATGCCACAAAAAATCTCAGAGAAAGGTGTGAGCCAGAAAGTCACAATCGAAAGTCAATTGACGAGCAAAAACCCATTGACAAAAACAAGCCAAAAAAAGAATGCATGAACAAGGGGAACGCTCAGGATCGGTCAACTAGGAAAACATGAGAGGAGGTTAAGGCCTTCACTCCTATGAACACTCTTTGCCTGCAAAGTTGTTGATAGAGTTACGAGACATGAAAGAACTTAGATGGCCAAAGCCAATGTTGATGTCTTCCAGCAAAAGAAACTAAAGCAAGTATGGTCATTTTCATAAGGATCATGGACATGATACTGAAAATTGCATACAGCTTAAGGAGGAAATCTAACACCTTCTAAGATGGGGCCCCTTAACCACGTATTTGAGAAATGATAGAGGCAAGGAAAAAGTTAAGCTGGAGTGATAAATGTGATCGCTAGCAGGATAGCGGCTAGCAGAGACTCAAATTCAACTAGGAAAAACTATGTATGCTCGGTTGGAATCTACTCTATCCAAAAGAAAGCAAAGTTCAACCAGAATATCACTTTTGGTGAGGAAAACTTGATTGGTATAGCAAACATCCATGATGATGCCCTAGTAATGGTTGGCGTCATTGCATATTTTGATATTAAGAGGGTGCTGGTCACGACGGAATTGCACCGAATGTTCTCACTTGAGAAGCATTTTTGGGTTTGAAGATCTCTTTTGAGATATTGAAAACGGTGACCACCCCTTACAAGGTTTTGGAAGGACAACTATGATACCAGAGAGAACTGTGGAGCTCCCACTCACTTTAGACACTTATCTAACAATCGTGGTGATCATGACAAGTTTCTTAGTTGTCAAAACCCCAATGGCCTACAATATCATCTACGGTTGATTGTTACTAAATGTCACCGGTGCTGTTCTCTCAACTTATCATCGGGTCATGAAGTTTTCGACTAGTATAGGGGTTAGGTGTGTAAAGGGAGATCAACATGCATCAGAAAAATGCTAACAGTATACCAGCGAAATGTTTACCATTAGTTAAGATGTTGGACGGATCAAGCCACCTGACATGACAGAATAATTTTGGTATCAAAAGGACGCGAGTTCAGTATTGGGATAGATTTGAAATTCGACGAATAGGAAGATTAGCAAATATCTAGTAGGTAACTTGGACATTTTCACATAGAGTCCAAGTGATATTCTTGGGATCAGTGCAATAGTCTCCTAGCATCGTCTTGGTGTTCTACCATGGACTAAACTAATAAAACAAAAGAAAAGAAACTTCACTCCAAAAAGGCAAGCTACAGCGAAAGTGAAGGTTGAGATATTATTGCAGGCGGGTTTCATTCGAAAAGTGTAATACCCTAAGTGGTTAGCAAACGTTGTGCTTGTAAAGAAAATCAAATGGAAAATGGCATGTGTGTGGACTACACCGGGTTGAACAAAGTGAGTCCAAAGGACTCATGCTCCCTACCCCAGATAAACACCGGGTGAACACCACACAACGTCAGGTCATGAAAGAATCGATTTTTTTGGCCTCTTTATTCGGGTATCACCAAATTTCTATAGCCAAGTCGGATAAGAAGACGTCTTTTATCGCTGACTTTGGGACGTATTGCTACACAGCCATGCTGTTTGGTCTGAAAAACATCGAGGCAACTTATCAGAAGATAGTGAATAGAGTCTTCCGTGGATTGATTAGGAGAATTGAAAAGCCTATGGTGATGACATGGTGATCAAAAGTGCCAAGGCTAATAACTATGTGGCTTGTTTGCAGAAAGAGTTTGATGTTGCCCGACAGAATAGGTTGAAGTTCAATTTTTAGAAATGCATTTTCGGTACCATTGACGAGAAGTTTCTGGGTATTATGATCATGTAGAGAGGCATTGAAGTAAACCCAGATAAGATTCAAGCGATTCTATAAATGAAAAGCCCTACCAGTGAGGAGGAGGTCCAAAAGCTGACAGGACGAGTAGAAGCGCTGAATTGTTTCATGAGTCGAGGAGTAGACAAATGTTAGCACTTCTTCAAAGCCATTGGGTGGTTCTACCAATTTTGAATGCCCAAGAAAGTGGAAAGTTACTTGAGTTCTTGAAGCATTGGTACAGCAACTAAGGCACTTTCGAAACAAATCGAACCCGACGATTTTTCTCAAGTTAAATACCTGAATAGGTATCTGAATCGAGAATCAACGGGTATAGTTCGATTCTTGGTTCTAGACCAAGAAATGAAGAATCGAATAAGAATCGAATCTTCCTAATTTTTTTATATTGAATAATTCAAATTATTTTAATTTTTTTGAAACAAATTGACAAATTAACTAATTAGGTGATAGATTAATAATCCATCTCCCAAGTGCTAGCCTAGCTAGCTTGACCCAACCCAACCAATGTCTAAATCCAATTATTTGTTTCATTTCTGATTTTTTAATTTTTTAAGCCCAAGTGCCCTTTTTTCCTAAAAGCTATGATTGAATAT